GGTCCTGCTGCAGGACAGGAAGACTAAAGCACTGTTGGTGCAACTGAGATTCTGTACAACCATTCTACAAAAGAAATTGGAAGTATGCCCCTCAAATCAGTCAGCTGACAGGTAGGGGGACTGGGAAAGGCCTCATGTAGAAATTGTGATATAAACTGAGTCTTAAAGGAGGTCAGAGAAACTAAGAGAAAAGTAAGGGGTGGGGAGCATCCCAGGCAGGGAGAGCAGCCTGGTGAGCATGCACAGAATCAATAAATGGAGTGCATGAGGAACATCAAGAAGGCCCCATTGAATCATAGAGCAAACAGAGAAGAGGAAAGTGTAAGAAGACTGGAAAGAGGAGGAGACTGGTTTGTAAAGGGCTTTAAATGCCGGAGACATTTATATTTGATCCTGGAGGTAACAGGAAGTCACTGAAGCATGCATCTTTGAGCCAAAGATGGAACTACTGGGCATATACTACAAAGAAAGGGAGAAGGAACTCATATTCATAAAAACCTATGCGTAGCAGCACTTTTTTGTTGCATGAAAGAACTTGAAATAAAGGAGTGCTTTTCAATTGTGGCATGGCTGAACAAATTACAGTATATACATGCAATGCTTATTATGTCACAACTAATTAAACAGATCGATTCAGAGAAATCTGAGAAGATTTGTATGAACTGATGCAGACTGAAGTGAGCAGAACCAGGGGGACTATTTACATGGACAGTAGCTCAGATGTTGTGTAAAAAACAAAACGAAACATCAAAAACCTTAAGAACTCTGATCAATGCAATGACCACAGCCTCAGAAGACTGAGGATGAAGCATGCTGTCCACGTCTTAGTGGATACATGATGGACTACTGGTTCAGAATGAGACATGCACTTCCAGACACAATCATTACTGTAAAAATCAATTTTGTTTGACTCTATTTTGGTTACAAGGCAGAGCTTTCACGAGGTGTAGACAGGAATTTGGAGGGTTAGTGAAAATGATGAAAAAAACGAAAGGGAAAGGAGTCAATTAAACATTTTAAAATTCTCAGAAGAATGAGAAAGGTCAGAGGAGTACACAATTAGGGCAATGTTGGTACTTCCACACTAAAATTGAATTCATATTAAAAGGAACAAACTCTCTATAGTAGTTGCAATTCCTGATAGAATTCCCTTGTTTTAGCCTTCTTTGTGTAAGCCAGTATTCATATACTGATGATTTTCTAAACCTTAATAGTTTTTTTTAATCTATAGGTGAAAAGACAAACCATAAAAATATTAGATAATTTTATTATAGAAAATAACAATAGCAAAATAATACAGCAAACCTTTTGAGATGTAGTCAAAATGGTCCTGAGGGGAAATGTTCTATTTCTGATCATTGTTATCAACAAAAAAGAGAATGAACAGTTCAATTAATTGGATGTGCAACTGAAACATGTGCAAGCAACAAATAAAAAACCTAATGAAACACAAAATGAGAAATTCTGCAAATCAAAGAAGAAATAAAAGAAAGTGAAAATGAAAATAGAAAATGGAATTTATTAAGAAAACTAAATGCTTTTTAAACAAATATTAAAATAGAATGGAATAAAGCATTAGCTAATTTGATTTGTAAAAAAACAAATTCTTTAATTTAAGAACAGAAAAGGAGAATTCACGGCAGATGAAGAGGAAATAAAGGAAATTATTGGAAATCATTTTGTCTGATTAGAAGTCAAAATGATATGTGAAATGGATAAATATTTGCAGAAAACTAATGGACCTAAATTAACTAAATATCAAATCAGGAATTCAAATAACCCCATCTGAAAAGGAGAGTGGGGGACCAGACGACCTCATCCCATTCAAATCTCTAGCTATGAATCTGGGAAGTGCATTGCTTCTTTGTCCATCTTCAAACATTTCAGAAATCTGGGTCCTTACTCTTGTGACACTTCATTTTAGACCCACATGAAGGACTGCAGCCTGGCTTCATTCTCTTCTCTTGCTCACAGCGTCCTTGAGTACAAATTGCAAGAGCTGGGGGTAGGAGATGAATGGATAATCTAATTATACTCCTGAGGTCATGATCATCAAAAGGTTGTGAATAATGAATAAAATTCTCTTGAACGAAATGCAAACTTTTACCTTGGTTTCAAAAAAAGTCATTTCACAAGCCCAGAATGGGAGAGATGTGATTTTACAACATTTGTGCAAAAAAAAAAAAAATGAAGGTGTTTAGTGACCCATAAACTCACTTTGAATCAGCAGCCTCTGAAGCTAATGGCATCTTAGGCTGTATTAGGAAGGACATAGGTGCCCCCTGGATAAAGGAGGTAGAGGCTCCCTTGACTGGGCTTTAGGCAGATGAACTCTGGAGGATGGAGTTCAGTTTTGGACTCCTTAATTTGGGAAGGCTACTGGTAAGCTAGTGTCCACTATGACTTATAAAGATCCTGGAATCCACTGAATAATTTGATATATAGCCACATTATCATGTTTGTGATTTTGTAGGCATTAAACCCATACTTCCAAAGAGACTTCTGTTCAAAATCAACTTCTGTTCTGCTTTTCTGTGCTTTTTGAGATATTCATGATCAAATCTCCTGCCTCTTGGTTGCTAGGTGATTTTAGGCATGTCCCTTCTGCCCTCTGAGTCAGTTTCCTCATCTGCCAAAGATGAAAAATGACACCTCCTTCACAGGGATGTGGTCAAAAGAAGGCTTTGCAAATCTCCCAACTCTGTTGTGTTATTAACAGGGAACCTGTTATTATCATGTATGTGCCAGAGACAGAGATAAAGAGGTGGGTGACAGTGGTCAAAGATGAAGCATTTCCGTGGCAACCCCACAAAACACATCTTAAGGCATTTGAGTAATCAGACATTGGAAATTGCTTGGGTTGCACATGCCTACTTAGGTACCCCTCAGGAAGGAGACATTTCAGTTCCATACCAGTTGATTCACCTTCCTAATTGAGACCCTCTCTCATTCCCCACTACATCTATTGCAAACTCTGTCTTCTTTCCTCAAGCACCTCCACCAAAGCATCCCCAGACACTCTCAGCAGAGAACCTCACCTTATACTTTCCTAAGAAAAGAGAAGCCATTTGCTGGGAGTTCTCTTTTCTCCCCTTCTCTACATCTTACAACCTCATGGAACTTTAGACATGCTCTCTGTCTTTAGCCATCATCAGCTTCAAGGACTCAACTACAGTCTCTCTGAAGGTGACTGTAGGATTCTTTGCCCAACCCTAATATCCCTCCAGAGCTCCAGTCCTGCATCACCTACATTGGGCATTTTGAACTGGATGTCCTGTAGGATTCTTAAACACAGTATTTTGAAAATATAACTCATTGTTTCCCCAAGGACATCCCCCTTTTATGCTTCTCTACTTTTGTCAAGGGCACCACTGTTCTTTCAGTCATCCAGCTTGACAGCTTTGAATTTTTCCTTCAATCATAACTTGCTCCCTCCACATGGCCAGTCTGTTGCCAGCTGTTGGTGATCCCACTTTGGCAACGTTTTTTAGTATCTATTCTCTTCTTTCTACTCAAATAGCTGCAAACTTAGTTCAAAGCCTCACTATTTGTCTGGGCTATTGCACATGGACAACTAGGTGGCACAGTGGATAGAGCCCCAGGCCTGGAGTCAGGAAGACCTGAGTTCAAATCGAGCCTCAGACACTTATTAGCTATGTGACCCCGGGCAAGTCACTTAACTCTGTTTGCCTCAGTTTCCTCATCCATAAAATGAGCTGGAGAAGGAAATGGCAAACCACTCCAGTCTCCTTGCCAAGAATACCCCAATGGGGTCATGGAGTCATAAAGAGTCAAACACAACTGAAATGACTGAACAATAACAACAAATCGCACAAGCCTCCTCATTCATCTGCCTGCCTGAAATCTCTTTCTTTTCTTCTCTTCTCCCGTTCTCTCCTCTCTTCTCTTTTTCCCTTTTCTTCTCTCTCTTTGTCTCTCTCTGTGTCTCTGTCTCTATCTCTGTCTCTGTTTCTCTCTCCCCTCTCTTTTTCTCCTTTTCTTTCTCTGTCTCTTTCTCTCTCCTCTCTCTTTTCTCTCTCTTTCTCTCTTCTCCATTTGTCTCTGTCTGTCTCTCTGTCTGTTCTCCCTCTCTCTCTCTCTCTCTCTCTCTCTCTCTCTCTCTCTCTCTCTCTCTCTCTCTCTCTCTCTCTCTCTCTCTCTCTCTCTCTCCCTCCTATCCTCCACACAGCTGTCAAACTGATAGTCTTAAAGCAAAGCTCTCCGTCACTCCCCCACTCAGTAAACTCCAGTGGTTCTCTATTACTTTTAGGATCAAATACAAAATACTCAGCTTGACACTTAAAGCCCTTCACAGTCTGGCTTCAACTGCACTTAGTAGATGTTTAACAAATATCGACTGATTCTGTCTACCCTTATTCTATTCTGCTCTCCTCCATATTGTCTTTGGTTCAGCCAAATTAGATTTCTTGTTGCTCCTCCCACATAACACTCACAGGATCAGTGGATCACAGATTTAGAACTGGAAGGAAACTTAGAGACTATCAACTCCAACCCCTAATTTTACAGACAAGTAAACTGAAGACCAAAGTTTAAGTGACTTGTCCTGGGTTACACAGATAGTAAATATTTGAGGCAGAATTTCAGTCTAAGTCCTCCTGACTACAAGTCTAATGTTCTATCCAACTTACCACCTAGCTGCCTATGTAAAAGATTGTGTTTGTTTCAGATGTGACCCTTTTTTAATCCCCTCATTTAATTGGGTGGTGATTATCATTACCTGATTTTTCTGTAGTCACATAGCTGTATCCTTGATAGAGACTGCAAAACGCCCCAAGTCTACTGATCCTGTGTATTTCCCCTGGGATTCTCCATCTATGTGAAATATGACCTATTTTGCATTCAATGGATTTGTTCTTTCCTCTTAATCCTGTCCTGAATGATCTGAGTTCCATGCTTTCTTTCAACTATCATGCAATTATGTTGATGGATATTCATTCTGTAGTCATTGCTAAAAGTGAAATATATTTCATTGCTTATAGGATGGGATGGGAAATCTGAGAGTCACCAAGGAAGGAATCCGACTTGAAGGTATATCTGAATTTCTACTTCCATTGTATGTGAAAGAAATCCATTCCCGAAAGGTATGTATGCGGTCATAGCTATGCCTTCCTCTCACAGGTAGTTAGAATCATTTGCTAGCTTGGGTTTTTGTTGTTGTTGTTGTTGTTGTTGTTTTTAACAGCAAGGATACCTTTCCTTATCTCTTCTAATCCGTGCAGTGGTTTTCTAATAGCATGGTGCCTTGCATGTCATGGGTGATAAAAAAATGTGTGCTGCATTCAATTGTATTGAATTGCCATTAGGTGAAAGTATATCACTGGAATAACTCCATGTGTCTCAACTGGACAAAGTCCACTTTTCATCAAGGCAGAGAGTGGTGCTCCCTTCTTCTTGTATTGTTAGGGACTAAATGTGTCCGTCAGTCAGTCACTCAATAAACATTGATTAAGGACCTACTTAAACTTAGTCAGGGAATGTGTGATTGAGGGATGTCAGATCCAACAATCACAGATGAGGATGTGAGCTCCAGGCTAATTCCTGGGACACAACTTCTTCCCAGTGCATTGCAGTCAGCAATTTAGTCAGTCTTATCATGGTAGAATATGTTTGGGACTTTAATGGGCATCTTCTTTCTACAAGAGACACTAAGGATATTTGATTTTTAAAAATCAACAATCAACCCACAATTGATTAAGCACCTACTATGTGCCAGGCACAAGCCCACATGCTGGGGAGATAAGTCCAAAGAGTGAAAAACAAATCCCTGCTAGCCAGGAGCTTCTATGCTAAAAATCAATCAATAAAGAGATCAAAAGTTTCTCCTGCCACTCTTCCTCCCTCACCCCCAACAAACCAGCTTTCAGGTGTGAACAAGCTAACAGAACCCCCTTCGGTGCCATGAGTAATCCAGTCCCACAGGTGAGAACTCACTCTATTCAACTCCCTTGTATTGGTCCATTGCTCTGTGATCCATCAGTTAGAGCACCATATTGTTGTATGGGGTCTACATTCTTCAGTTTGCCTCCTAAGTACAGGAACACAAAGACCAGGGGGAAAAGAAAGAGAGAAAGATTGTTGCTATTCACTAAAGTATTGGTACATTGTAATAGAGGGTTTAATCTCCTCAAATGCAAATCTTTTTAACACACAGACAGACACAGATGGGTACACCTCCATGATTTGGGATGTTATATAGACAGTGCCCAAGTCACTGGAGTTGGAGAATGACTGTTTTTGTCCAAACCAATCAGCCTGAGCTGAAAGCTTTACCGTAATAGATCTGGTGTGATTTTAACACAAGGTTCTGGGCTGCCTGCTCCATCTTCCACTGAGCTTGGCATGTCTGTCAAAATATGCTCTGTGCCACCATCAGGGTTATTTCCATTTTGTATCCTTTGAGTGCTATGCTGAGCATTACAACCAGTCTGGTGTCCTACTCTAAAACACGTGCAGAATGCCCTGGGCCCTCACTTCTACCTCCTAAGATTCCAAATTTCCATCAAAGTGCAACTTAGTGCTTCCTCCAACACAAAGCCTTTCCTAATCTCCCCAAAGACCACTCTCTCCCTCTCAGCATTATGTTGCGTACTCTTGGTACTTACATCCTTGGTATGTACTGTGGACCCTCAGTGCTGGATATGCACCTCAAGGAAAAAGATTTCTGTTTTCACCAATGTATCCCCAGAGCCAAGCATAGTCCTTGTCTTACAATAGTTTGTGCTCAATACATGCTTACTGATTTGTAATACCAAGTACCATCAATTATTCCTGTGAAATTAACTGTTGGTATGATCAATCCCACATAATTCAGTCCTGTTGAGACCCAAACTGACTTGTTCTCTGTGTCTTTATAAATAGATTATTTCCCTCAGGGAGCAAGTATGTGAATTTGTGAATCGCCCCTTCTCCACCATCTATGCTCCAAGTGACATCCATAAGCCTACAATGTATCTTGCTCCAATATCTGCATTGTTTATATCACCAAAGCCTGCTTCTTTAATTTTCTTTGTCCGTGTGGATCAGTATGAAGAACACTAAGCCCAGGTAGTTTACAAGCAACATTCTTTGTATTTATACAATTCAGTGCAATCCAGCAGCCATTTTAAGTGCCTCTTGTATCCACAGCATGATCTGGACACTAGAGATACAAAGACAAATCATGCCTTATTCCTGGCCCTACGATGTCAATCCCACTTTTTTTCTCTTGGGTCTCTTTGGAATAGATCTCATTGTATTTCTGTTACTCTGCTCTTTATGTTATATATTCTGATTTTAAATTGTGCTTTCACTGTATCTGTGTAATTTTATATTCTCTAAACATTTCTTTGAATTGTCTCTATTTTTTCCCCTTGGATTACTGACATTTTGCTTCTCCCTTTTCCCTCAATTTCTTTGACTTCCCCTCTCATACTTTTCTTCCTTTTTTTGATTTCCAAATACCATCTACAGTGAGCCTGGCACTGGTGTTTGTTTCCTCTAGTGTTTACATACACACTCACACACACACACACACACACACACTTCTCTGAATGTTTTTTTTTCCATTTTCTCTTTCGTTCTATTTAAATAGTTATGCCCCCTTTCTTCATAAAGACTGCACACAATTCTTTGTCACGCCTCACTCTGTTTTCTTAGACAGGAGACAATGTTCTCACTAGGTATGTATACTGATGGCATGTGGCAATCCAATGACTCCTTTAGTCCCACCTCTAGTCTATTTAATCTTATCTCTACCATTAAAACAACCTGCCAATCATCCTGTCTGAATGATCCTAAATGGGATGTAGCTAGCAGTTGACTCACTTTATTCTCCTTTGGCCACATTCCCACATGTGTTGATTTACCATACATGTTCTTTTCTCTTAGCCTCAATCCCAGATGACACTTGTATTGAAAGTGTCAATAAAGCTTGAGTCTCATTCCTCCTTAACTGTTAGCATCCTGATCCTTCATAGCATCTCTGGTAGGAAGGGGCCATGGCTGCCACTTGCAAGTTGAGTTGAAAATGATTTGCTAACGTGGCAAGAAGAGGAGGGGTATGTCAAGATTGCCAGTCCATTGTCAGCCTGTGACCCATGGGAGTCATTTGATGCTCAGTTTCTGTGACCCTTTGGCTTGCATGGTCATTCCTTAATTGTGCCTCATGCATTTGTTTCATGCACCCATGTATGTAACTTTTTTCTGGTCTTCTAAGAATATACCCCTATTCTGTCTCTAGTCTACCTGTCTAGACTGCCTTCTCTTTTCTTCAAGGTTCCAGTTGGTAGATATCACTTGTACTCATGCCTAGGACCAGTAAAACTTGATTCACTTACCTGATCATTCTAAACTCTGCCCTTCCTACTTTGGGAATTTTTCTTCTTTCTACCCCTTTCCACCTGCACTATGAGCTCACAATATTTCATTGTCTTTATTCTCTACTTAATCTGCCTGTACCATCATGTCCTGGAGAAGTTTGCCTTCCTCCTCTTCCTCCCTATTTGGAATTCCCTTAGTTTTTCCCAGCATACTTCTCTCACAGAATCATGAGGGAAGCCCACATGGTCCTTCTACTTTCCTGGTGAGGCTTGTGGGTGAGTTTGCTAGAAGCCTATTCCCCAGTCAGTCTTGAAAACAAGCAGGTTCCTGTCCATAGTAACCTGAGAAAAGTGTACGGACAGAGGGATCTGGGGAGATATTATGAGCTATGTTGTCCCTATCAGTTATGGAGGAAGACAGGCAGGTTAGTGTGACCCCTCCAAGTGAATTCTAGTGGAAAGAATTCACAGAAATCAGTCCTGAACATTTTACATAAAGCTGTTTTCTCACAGCTGCAAAATCTTTTAAACACTCAGTCTGATAAGTCTCTTCCAACATGTGTAAAAATGATGATCAAGCCTCTCTTCTCCATGAATAACAAAACAGAAGAAGGTAAAGCAAGTTTTAAAATCCTCACCACTTCAGGCATCTTTGCTGGCTTTGGTATTTCAGGACCCACTTTCTTCCCTATAGGCACACCTTCAAGTCTCAACCATAAGTACATGTCTTGTCTCTTTTAAAAATCCACATCTGGATCTTAGTGAGGGAGCCATATAAGGTCAAAGATAGCACTTATGAAGAAGACAGTCTTCCTTTGTCAATTTGGGCGTGATTCTGAAAAATAGATACACTCGGATATACTCACTACCCGGGGCATAAAAACTGCCCTGTTGTTGAGTGAACACACACTGTGCTAGAAAAGATTATTTCCCCTCTGAGTTCATCAGTGGTCAGGGTTTTAGAGGAATTAACATTTATATTTGTCACAGATGGTTTTAAAATAGCCATCAAAAAGTCTAATGTAAATATTTCTCTTTTTCCAAAAGATAAAACCTAATAATAATTCTTTACCCAATATTTTCTATTTGAAAGCAAAAACAGTCAAGAAACTTTGTGCCTCTGCTATAGCAGACACATCTTTCATGTTCTGGAGATGTGGGAGTCATGCTAATTTGAGGGTTTTGTATTTCTATGACTCCTTGAGTCCAGGTTATGCATCAGTAGATGTGTAGATATGAGGACACTGGCATTAGAGATGTAATCAGTGTGTGAGAAATTGCAGCCATGTGATTGATGAGGCCTACCTACGAGTTAGAAGGCACCTCTCCTCCTAATCACTCATCTCTCTCAAACCACTACATTCCCAGGGTTGTTCTCACAATAGCATGTTGGTGAATGAGCTACCGACAGTTGATTGCCCTAAGATGTATTGACTGGCACTCTGTATGATACTAAAATTAACTTCAGCACAAGCAAGATCTGTGTCTGACCTCTTTTACCCTTTGCACATGGGCCACAGTGGCACTCTAGCAGAGATCCAGGCAATTCTCACTATGTGGTGCCTGCTCATGACCCCACTTCAGTGGTTTTCCCTATCTATCCAAACTTACGATTGATTTAGAATTTCCCTGAGTCCAAAGAGCTTTGGAACTTGCTTCCAACTTCCACATTCTTCTTTAAAATGAGTTTTACAGGCATGAAAAATATGTGTCCTGACTATCATCCATAATTAGGTCAAGGGTGGTTAAGGTTTTTGTTTTTGTTTTGTTTGTTTTGTTTTGTT